GGAGCTCGAGACCAGCCTGGCCAACATGGTAAAACCCTGTCTCTACTGAAAACACAAAAATTAGACAGGTGTGGTGGCATGCACCTATAGTCCCAGCTACTCAGGAAGCTGAGGTAGGAGACTTACTTGAACCCAGAAGGTGGCGGTTGCAATGAGCTGAGATTGGCCACTGCACTCCAGCCTTGGTGACAGAGCAAGACTCCATCTCAAAAAGAAACAAACAAAAAAAAAGCCGGGTGCAGTGGCTCACCCCTGTAATCCCAGCACTTTGAGAGGCCGAGGCAGGTGGATCATGAGGTCAGGAGTTCAAAACCAGCCTGGCCAACATGGTGAAACCCTGTCTCCACTAAAGATACAAAAATTAGCTGGGCCCAGTGGTGGGTGCCTGTAATCCCAGCTACTTTGGAGGCTGAGGCAGGAGAATTGCTTGCATCCAGGAGGCGGAGGTTGCAGAGAGCCAAGATCGCACCACTGCACTCCAGCCTGGGTGACAGAGCAAGCCTCCATTAAAAAAAAAAAAAAAATATATATATATATATATATATATATGCCACTAGATATAAAATCTTAATGTAATGCTATAGTAATTAACATCTTAATGTAATGCTATAGTTTATTTGCCATTATAATATGGAAAACAACAATAACAACTAATGTATGGCAAATAAACCAATGGAATAGAGCCTCTCTGGAATGAGATCAACATATAAGGTCACCTGACTTATGAGCATGGTGCTATTGCATTGCAGTATGCAAGGAATAGTCTTTTTAATAAAAGTTATTAGATCAATTGCCTATCCATAAGAAATAGTCCACTCTGTCACCTGGGCTGCAGTGCAGTGGCACCATCATAACTCACTGCAGCCTTGAACCCCTGTGCTCAAGGGATCCTCCGACCTCATCCTCCCAAGTTGCTGGGACTACAGGCATGTGCCACTGAGTCCAGCTAATTTTATTTTTGTAGAGACAGGGTCTCGCTTTGTTGCCCAGGCTGGTCTCGAACTCTTTGCTTCAAGCAGTCCTCCTGCCTTGGCCTCCCAAAGTGCTGGGATTATAGACGTGAGCCACCTCTTCTGGCTCAATTGCTTAAGTAGAATAAAAAAAGCAGTAACTGAAAAAAAAAAATCCATAAATTGAATACTATTAAAATGCAGAACTTCCTCAACAAAAGACGTCGTTAAGAAGGGAAAAGAAAAACCATAGTCTGAAAGAAAATATTTGTGTTATATTTATTAGAAAATATGAGGATATTTAAAGAACTTCTACAAAACAATAAAACAATAGACAAACTAGTAAATAATAGGCAAAAGTTTAGAATAGGCACTTCACAAACATATGAAAAGGTACTCAAGATAATCAATGAAATCCAATATAATAATAAAAAAGACCTAACAATCCTTCACGCAGCAACAAAACTGACTCTTCCAAATGTAACACTGAGCAGAAGCTGGACACAAGAGTACCTATTTTTTGATTCCTTTAATATAAAATTTAGGAAGCAGCAAAACTATTAGTGTTATAAATCAGAATAATGGTTATTTTGGGGAGATAAGTGGGAAAGGGCATCGGGAAGGCTTCTGGGTTGTTGATGTTCTATATCTTAATCTGAGTGCCATGTACATGGATGCATTTACTTTGTAAAAATTCACTGAACTGCCTAATTCAGATTTGTGCACTTTACTATATATATGTTATACTTAAGTGAAAAATATACATAGTATAGGAAAAATTGTTGGAAAAAAAAAAGACCTCCCAACAAAGTAAACTCCAGGCCGTAGGGTGTTTCTGGTGAATTCTTTCAAACATTTAAAGAAGAAATAATACCAATCTTACATAAACCCTTCCAAGGAAACAAATACATGAAACACTACCAGCTGGCTTTATAAGACTGTCATAAGTTTGATACCTTATGACAGTCTTATAAAGCCAGCTGGTAGTATTTCATAATGTCCTTGAAATCTTATAAGGACATTACGAGAAAGAAAATTACAGTCTAATCTCTAAAATAGGAATGGGATGATGAAAGTGTTCTGTAATTAATTAGTGGTCCTGGTTGCCTAATGTTTTAGTCTATTTGGGCTGCTATAACAAAATACTATAAACTGGTTTTATAGTATTGTACACAACAGAAATTTATTTCTCATAGTTGTGGAGGCTGGAGAGTTCACAACCAATGCTCTGGCAGATTCGGCATTTCCTCCCTGGTGGGAGGGGCAAAGGAGCTCTTCTGGGCCTCTTTTATTAGGACACTAATCCCATCTGTGAGGGCTCTGCTCTCATGACCTAATCACCTTCCAAAGGCCTCGCTTCCTCATGTCATAACCTTATGGGTAAGGATTTCAACATATGGGTTTGGGGTAGACTCAAAGATTCAGACCACAACACATAAATGTGTGAATATACTAAACACCACTGAATTGTGTAATTTAAAAACAGCAACTTTTATGATACATGAATTGTACTTTAATAGAAACATCCAAAATGTATTATAAAAGCATATTCGCCATATATAAAAGTGATTAAATATTATGACCAAGTTGATTTATTTTAAGAATGTAAACTTAAAATTCAAAATCATTTGCCTTTCAAAAATGTACTCAAAACAATTTGTTACATTAACAGGAAAAAAAGAAACAGATATGGTTACATCGATATACGTAACTAAAGTGTTTGATAAACTTCAACATGATTCAAAGACCAAAAATTTTTAATAATGAAGAATATATGAGAATGTCCTTAATTTAAAAATGGTTATCTACAAAAAGCCTACAGTAAACACCAGATTAATGGTGAAATGTTTTGATCTTTCTCTTTGAGATGTGGAACAAATCAAGGATGGCATCTATTGCTACCAAAGTTCAATGTTATACTGGTGGTCCTAGCCAGTGTGGTAAAGAAAGGAAAAGGAAGGGAGGAAGGGAGGGAGGGAGGCAGAAAGGAAGGAGGGAAGGAAACAAAGAGAAGACCAAGAGTTAAATAAAATTATAATTATCTGGTGGTTTGGTAAATTGTCAACCAGGCTAATCTGGAATTAAGTTTTCTCTGTATGGTTCTGGACTGGGGTTACAGCATGAGAAATTAGCCTGATATTTGACAGGCAGAAGTTAAACAACAGCCATTCCACTTTGAAAGTCATCCTTGGATAGAGTTGGTGAGGCACAGTGCAGGAGTGGAGGCTTCAGAGGATAGACCTTTTACCTGAGGCTTGAGAAATAGATTCACATGGGAAGTTTCAGCATCCTCTGTGACAGCTCATTCTCTGTAGGCTGGGAATGATAGTGGGAACTGTTGCCATTGAACTGGGTTCTCCGAATTCACTTGGGGATCGAAGGACCTCAGGGTGGCAGAGCCCAAGTGGTAGCACTTAATTGTCACAGACAATGGGGGTTCTCATAATGGGTATTAGAGTTGAAACAGCAATCAGAATGATTTGACTGAAGAGAACTTTGTTACTGGCTAATTCATCATGGAGTCTCTAAAACCGAAGTAGATGGATAGCCGACTAAAATGTTATTTGATTTGTATGAGTAGAAGAGATTTAGGTCAAGTGAGTAGAATTCTGACTTGAATCATTGCAAAAGACGTTCATTGTACATCAACAATTCCTAGACTTGAACAGTTTATAGACTCAGAGCAGCATGAATGGATGGGAGACTGGATCCTTTTGAGGAAGCACCATGCTACACAGTCAAAAACATGTATTATAAATCTTCCCCTAGCCTTCTCCAAGAAGACTTAAGCCATTTACCAGCATTTGGATATAGAGAGTTTACAGAACTAGAAACAGAGAATATAGGTATAGGTACAGGTATAAGTATAGGTATAGGTGTATTATTTTGTTTGTTTTCTCTATTTTACTAATAACTTTTTTTCATATTTCCAAGAAAATTCTTATTCCAATTCCATGTTATCTTATTACACATTTCAAATAAGAAGGAAGTTTCCCAATTTGTTTTACAAAATAGCAAAACTACTTCTTAAACTGGATAAACAGCAATAAATATGTGACCAGTGTCATTCATAAACTTAGATTCTGAAGGTCATAAACTTTATAGTAAAAGTAACAACATTTTTAAATACCAAGAAGAAAAGAAGTCTCCAAGTTATGCAGCGAGAACAGTAAGGTGTTATACACTGTACTTCTCTCAGCCTCAGACTGGCCCTCCACTACCTAGCTGTACTACTTTTTAATAAAATGAGATCTTGCTATACATGCCGTTCATCTGATTCTTTTTCCGCATAAAACACATTTCTTTCTAGTCCTTAAGTTCTTCTTTATGCATTTTTATGGCTGAATAAGATGCCGGTGTATGGATATACTTTTTTTTTTTATTCTGCAAAGTTATTTTATGTTTCTTAGGGAATTCTTTATGGTGGTCATTTTGAACACATCTTTCTTTCTAGTAGATCATTTCCAAACCATAATTTAAAACATTTAGGTTACTCTAACATTTTAACTAATATAAATAATGCCACAATGAAAAGTTTACACCAAACTGCTTTAAGAAGTTTGTGTTTATTTCCTAAGTATCAATTCTAAGAAGTAGGTTAAAATATATGCCCACTTCTGAGGTTTATGGTGTATGGTGCCTTTCAAGAGGATCTGTTGATTTTGTGGTATATGGAAGTCCAGGTTTTTCCACAGCTTCACTAATCTTGAAGAGTATCAATTTTAAAAATCTTTACTGATTTGCCAAACAGGATGATTATTATACTGGAGGTGGTAGAACCAACATAATTTCAAATTTATGAACTAAAATTAAGTTTGAAGGCTTTTATGTACTTATGCCCTCAGAATTAGAAAAGACACATCCCAGGATAAGAAAGAACTTAAGGAAAGAGTTGCCAGGAATCCCAGAGGAATATTCGAGAACCTTCCAGCTGTCTTCAGCCATGTGAAGGACAAATTGCACAGAAAGAATTCGGTTAAGATTTTTATTATTCCAGAGAAAAATTAGAATGTATCGGTAAAAGAAATAGGAAGGGATATTTCAACTTACTGTCACAAACAGGTGTTTTATTATCCCAAATGACAGTATTGCCTGAGACGATGCATGTGGCAGACGAGGAACCAATGAGTCGGTATCTAGAGGCAAAGAATGAGGAATGTTAGTTCTGAAGAGGTCAGGTCAACTTCCCCCTTAAATCACTACTTCCAGAGATTGCACTCTTATAGAATTCAGAGGAACATTCTCCACTTGTCAAAGAACTGTCTATCACCTTCCCAAATTTCACATTCTTCTCGGGACTTTTTGATTTTTTTTTGCATGCCTTCTCAGTTGGATGAGCTGTCTTTTCTTTATTATGACACATTTTTATATAAATCAAAGATGAATTACAGTTTTTCCTATAAGTTTCATTTTTTAAAAAAAAGATCACACTAGCTTCTTGAGTGCAGGGAAGCTGTCATATATATACTGATGTATGTGTGCATGTTGTCCTGTTGTATGTCTTTCTGTGCTTTGCAAGTATTAATGTATGGATGCATAGATGGGCTTTTATCAGTAAGATTCATCAAAGTAGGCATTTCACAGTGCCTCAGGCTTATAATCCCAGCACTTTGAGAGGCTGAGGCAGGAGGATTGCTTGAGCTCAGTAGTTCAAAGCCAGCCTGGGCAACATAGTGAGACCTTGTCTCTACAAAAAATATATTTAAAAAGCCAGGCATGATGGCACATTCCTGTAGTCCTAGCTACACAGGAGGCCAAGGCAGGAAGATCACTTGAGCCTGGGAGGCTGAGGCTACAGTGAGCATTGATCATGGCACTGCACGCCAGCCTGGGCAACAAAGCAAGACCTTGTGTCAAAAAAAAAAGAAAAAAGAGACAGGCAGAAAGAAAGAAAGAGGAAGGAAGGAAGGAAGGAGAAAGAAAGAAAGAAAGAAAGAAAAGAAAAAAAGAAAGAAAGAAAGAAAGAGAAAAAGAAAGAAGAAAGAAAAGAAAGAAAGAAAAAGAAAGAAAGAAAGAGAGAGAGAGAGACAAAGAAAGGAAAGAAGGAAAGAAAGAGAAGGAAGAAAATGATTCATAACTAGAACCAAAGGAAATCTAAGCTGACCAAAAAGAATTGAACACTTATTTTATACTTGAAATGTTAAAGTCAGCAATTCTCAATTAGTATGTCTCAAACTGTTCAGTGTGCCATGCATTTGGAAGAATTCATGACATTTGCTTTACTTCACCTGAGACTCTCTGTTGTGATAGATGGTTGGGTCTAACTGGCCATAGTGAGGGTTGGATCAAACTTGGTAGTACTACCCATGAAGGAAGGAAGCAATGTCAAATAACAGTCATGGTTATAGGTAGAGCTGAGAACTTTGCTTTATGAATATATAGGAAAACGTGGCAGCATAAAGCTTTATTCAAGCAACAAAACAGTGCCAAATGGAGATCAAGTGAATGGCAAGAGAACAGTGAGTGTTTTTGAAGACACTTGATACACTGTTAACATTATAGTAGTGATTATGTTGTAATTATTAATGACTTCAGTATCATTTTGACTTTTTTGTTATTATTTTTGAGATGGAGTTTCACTCTTGTCACCCAGGCTGGACTGCAATGGCACGATCTCAGCTTATTGCAACTTCCACCTCCCAGGTTCAAGCGATTCTCCTGCCTCAGCCTCCCAAGTAGCTGGGATTACAGGCACATGCCACTATGCCTGGTTAATTTTTGTATTTTTAGTAAAGAGAGGGTTTCACCATGTTGACCAGGCTGGTCTTGAACTCCTGACCTCAGGTGATCTGCCTGTCTCCCCCTCCCAAAGTACTGGGATTACAGGCATGAGCCACCACGCTGGCCTCCTTTTGCTTTCTAATGCCTTCTAGTATAACACCAAAATGAAGGCATTCTCAGTTGCACTGCTAACAGACATACACACAAGCAGGAAGGATGTGAACAAATGAAGTGAAGAAGGGCTGCAATCCTATGTGTGTACCCCTTCTGCCTGTTTGTCTTAGGAACAAGGGATCCTGGAGCCTCCTCTGGCTTTTGATCTCACTGAGGTTATTTCTTAAAGTGTTCTTTTTGTTTTTTTATTCCGGGGGTTTGGGACAGGAATGATGAAGCAGGTTCAAACTGAAGTTGGCATCTTTTCCTCCATACTATTGTTCAGTGTTGCAGTACTGAACATATTAAATATGANTGGGACAGGAATGATGAAGCAGGTTCAAACTGAAGTTGGCATCTTTTCCTCCATACTATTGTTCAGTGTTGCAGTACTGAACATATTAAATATGAGTCAAAAGATAACTTTATGTTCACTGATCAAGGGGAACAGATAAAAGAATATTTTAATTTATTGAACTTATCTCCCAAAGTAGATTACAAAATTGAACAAATAATGGTTTGAACTTTTCTCATTCAGAATGTTTATGAGGAAGTAAGGCAGAGAGAGAAAACCCATGATACTTATTTTAAAGGGAGCCAGGGACTTTCATAATCATTTGAACCTATTGAAGCCTGTACATCCTACCCTATCTTTTTCAATTTCCTGGGGAAGAGAGAGTTCTGGGTTCATAAAGTTAAGCCATCGTTCAGGAGAAGCCATGATCACTTCATCACCAGAAACCACATATGGCATATGGATAACTATGTCTAGACTTTTGGGAGTCTTCTCCCCAGGGCCCAGTGTGGGACAGTGAAGCCTGGGATATGAGTCTCATTTCCATTTTCTGTCTTAATTTATATGCCTTGAACCAGGTGGATGGGTTAGGAAAAATAAAATAAAAATCAAATCCTGTGAATTATTTAGGTTAGTGCATTTTCAACCTTAAATCATGAGATTCAGAAAATATATTTAAGGATAGAGTTTATCTGAGCATAAAGCTAAGGGTAGCAACCTGGAAGACACCAACTCCAAATGAATGAGGTCAGCACTCCATAGTGGAGAACGTAAGGTCTCACTTACATGGGCAGAGACAGAGAAATTTTTAGCAGGATTACATTTTCCATATGAGACCATGCATAATCACAGCACTTTGATTGGTTATAGAGCGCTACATTCCAAGGAAGATTACTTTATTACTCTCTGAAAAGGCGTAGTGATCTGAGGGGTCTTATCTCTTGTACCATTTGGTTTTAACCATTTACAGGAAAAAAAGGCAGAAGTTACAGCTGCCTGCTGCATGACTCAGGCTGCATAGCCACAGTCCTCTCATGGCTCAGAATCACTGAAATTTCCCCAGCTGTAAGTCTGAATTATTTAATTTCACAATATACAATTCTTTGGTAGAAAACCCATCCCCTTGGAAATTTAGTAGGAACTTAAAAAAAAAAAACAACCCTTTTTATTTTGAGATAATCAGGTTTGCATGCAGTTGCAGGGAAGAGTACAGAGATCCCAGGTACACTTTACTCAATTGTCCCCTATACTAACATTTTGCAAAACAACAGTACAACATCAAAATCAAGATATTGAGACAGATGTGATCCACCAATTTTGCTCAGATTTCCGGTTTTACCTGTACTTATTTGAGTGCATGTCTGTTTATGCACATATTAATGTGTCTTTACATTTACGCAGTTTAAAAAGGAAATAGACTTTGTGTTTTAGCACAGTTTTTGGTTCACAGCAATAATGAACAGAAGATACAGAGATTTCCTACATACTACCTGTGCCTACATGGATAGCCTCCCTTATTATATACATCCTTCACCAGGGTGGTACATGTTTTGCAACTGATGAACCTACACTGACACATCATGGTCACCCTAAGTGTATAGGCTATATTAGGGTTCACTCTTGGTATTGTACATCATAAGACTTTGGATACATTTATTATGACATGTACCTGCTGTTATGGCATCATACAGAGTAGTTTCACTACCGTGAAAATCCTCTGTGTTCTGCCTATTCATCCCCTCTTCTTCCCTAACTCCTGACAACCACTGATCTTTTTACTCTTTCCATAGTTTTGCCTTTTCCAGAATGGCATATAGTTGGAATCATGTTATGTCGCATTTTCAGACTGGCGTCTTTCACTTAGTAATAGTGAAAGAAGGTTCATTATTTAAGGTTCCTCTATGTCTTTTCATGGCTTGGTAGCTCATTTCTTTCTTTCTTTCTTTTTTTTTTTTTTTTTAAGATGGGGTTTCACCATGATGGCCAGGCTGGTCTTGAACTCCTGACCTCAGGTGATCCAGCCACCTCTGCCTCCCAAAGTGCTAGGATTACAGGTGTGAGCCACCACGCCCGGCCTCAGTAGCTCATTTCTTTTTGGTATTGAATAATATTCTATTGTATGAATGTACCACAGTTTATCCATTCTCTTGCTAAAGGACATCTTGATTGCTTCCAAGTTTTGGGAATTATGGATAAAGCTGTTATAAACATCTGTGTGCAGATTTTTTTGTGTGTGTGAACATGAGATTTCAATTCTTTGGAAAAATACCAAGGAGAATAATGGCTAGATAATAAGGTAGAGTATGTTTAGCTTTATTAAAAAAAAAAGCCAACCGTCTTTCAAAGTTATGGTACCATTTTGCATTCCTACCAGCAATGAATGAGAATTGTGTCCCCCTCACCCCTGAAATATATATATGTCTTAATCCCTAGTTCCTGTTAGTGTGGCCTTATTTGGAAATATGCTCTTTGCAGAGGCAATCAAGTTCAGATGAGGTCGTTAGTGTGGTCCCTAATCCAATATGACTGGTGTCCTTATTGAAAGAGAGAACTTCGGACAGACATGCACAAACAGGAGAACAGCATGTGCAGACAGACCCAGAGGGAAGACGGCCATGTGAGGACAGAGACAGAAATTGGAGTTCTGCTACCACACGCCAAGGAACGCCTGGGGCTCCTGAAGATGAAAAAGCAAAGAGGGATCCATCTCTAGAGGTTTTGGAGGGAGCATGGCTCTGCCAACACCTTGATTTTGGACTTCCGGCCTCTAGAACAGAACTTCAAAAACTTCATTTGTATTAAGCTGCCGGTTTTGGAGTACTCGGTCACAGCAGTCCTAGCAAACTACTTGTGCTATGACCATTAAGATTTCTCGGCTGGGCG